ATCCAGCACTGATGGGTTTTGGAAGAAAATTATGCTTTGCCCATGAGCAAATTTAAACTGTCTCCCCCTGGACTGCTGCACTGTATAAAAAGTATTTCCTGTGGGAAGTGCCAGTAGTGATTAGCAGAAGCAAATTCTTTTGAATATTTTTTTCCATTTTAGTTTGGTTTAAATTGAAGATTATCAAAAGCCAAAGTTCAAAGCGAATCTAAACTATTTATCTGTGCAGTCTGTGGAGCAGGGCTTCAGAAAAAAAAGACAGAATGCTGGCAACCAATCATATTTAACCAGTAGGCTCTTATTTTTACGACTGGAGCTCCACATTTCCTTGGGGAAAAGAGGGACCATCCAAAAACAGAGAGCACTTCTGTCATATTCCTCTCCGAAGTATTTAGTTCTCAGAAATATCTGTGATATTTGAAATGTTTTGAATATTTAAGTTAACCAAGATTCAAGAATCTAGAATATTTCAAAATGTTACCATTAGAGTCCTTGAGGTTATAAAACCTTGATTGCTTATCAGTTTGTTGAAAAACTTACCCCATCCAGCAGAATTTCTATTAATTGCACATTAAAGTCCTAAATGGGACAAAAGACTTTTTTTCAATCTTAGTCTTCACAAATTGCTTTAAAATTTTTACATGAAAAAGGAATAAAAATAGGTGAAACAAGGTGTTTATGATGCATGGTTCTTTAGAAGAACTTAAGTTGTTGAGCAGATCTAAGTCATATTGATATACAGGAATTTACCATGTGGATGAAGGAAAAACAAGGAAACCTATTTTAAATGAGCCGTTCCTATTGGTATTTGAATCACTTAAGCAGCTASAAACTATGGGAGGAACAATATTTAGTAAATCACAAGTAGCAAAACTAAACAACACAATTTTACTATAAAAAATTCTGTCCTGCAGACCTTTGAAACCCACATTAATTCTGAATACGAAACAATTATGGGATTAGGAATATTTTCTGAAATAAATTTAAATTATTGTATCCTGTGTATTCTATTCTGAAGAGCAGTCTTGAATCAAATCCGGACTCAAAGAGAAAAAACAGAGTATCTACTTCAGTTACGTGAAAAGGTTGTTGGAATATGTGGATCATTCAACTATAGAAAGAAATTGCATTGAGGTCACAAACGGATTGTTACTGAAAATTTCTGTGTATGAAGATGGTCAAGAAACACCCTTAATCACATCATGTCTCAGTTGATAGAAATAAGTTTTCTTCATGCTGAACTTTTGTTACTTCGTGTTGCAAACCATGATATTTCCTTTTTGAGCTTTCATATCAAATGCTGTATTTATTTTTTAAAGCGCAACTCCAAGTCGGTATTAATTTGGTAATTGTGTGGTTCTATTGGTTGTATTTAATGACTATTCTAAGCATTTAACAGTGAAAAAGTTGTTCTTTAGCTCACTGTTCTAATTGGGTATATGAGCGAACACATTCTCTTGCACATGTTTTTAAAAATGATTCTTAGTTATGTCTGAAATAAAATTTTAAAACAAACCAAAAAAATAATAGATCAGATACTAATGTTGTAATATAAATCTATTTGAATTTTCTAATGCCCTTCAATTTTTTATCACTTTTAAAGGTATGATTTTTATATGCATTTTAATCTTGCTGAATATATATGCATAATAATAAAATAATAAAATTAAATTAAACCTGATTTAAAAAAAAAAAAAGTTTTAAAAGATGTGGTGGGGAATAGTTTTCATTTCTGGATTTCTCGAAGGTCTAGAACTATAAGAAACCCGTTTTTCATCATCATGTCTTTTTTGATTGTCCCACTTCCTTTTTTACCTTTGTCCTGTTGGCCTGTTCKTGTCAGATACCCTAATTCTTAGAAATTTCAATTCACCAGATATTTTCCTTTCTACAGTCAGCATTTCACACGGAGGAAGAAGCATTCCATGCCAGCCCCTGGTTGACTCTAGTGTTTCTCTGAGYGTTTTTTATTCTGAAAAAGATCTCATTGCCACCAGTACAAAGTTACTAAAGTGCATACGGATGCTGGATGAAGCCAGTGGACTTTCTTGTTGCTAGTAAATAGTGTTACAGAATTTCTTTGGCGCTATAGAAAGTGAGCCTGCCCATCAACATTATAATATCAATGCACTCATCTAAGGAGTAGTCCTAGCTCAGAATGTACTCTTATAATGTGGGGAATAACCCCCATTTCGACCAAACCTGTTTGTATCTCTATCATATGCAATATTCATGTAGTACCAGCCTCTCTGTAAGTTTTCAAGTCTGGGTTGAGACAGAAATTTAGGTGCTACTGAAATGYCTTATGAGTATTTTCCAGAACTTAGTACTCCTTTCTTATACAGAAAAAATTAGACACACTGCAACAGAACAAAAATCTCCTAAGGGAGATGCAGAATTTTTATGATTGCATTTATGAGATTTAGTTGTTTTGGTGGGCATGGATGAGTGTGTTCAGCAAAGGTCTAATGGATAAGATGAGTGCCTTGCTAAGTGATCTTTAAAAAGAAATTGGTTTTGTAGTGAGCTTAATTTTGTTTCTCTTCTCCCCAAACCAGTGGGTCTGTCTTGTGAGTGTAACCTTCTCCAAGGCTTACATGAATGGGAGAATTTGCAGGAAAGGAAGCTATCATTTAGGTTAAGAAACTGGAAAAACAACCAATCTGCTTGACCTCAGCTTACATTAGTCATCAGCTTAGTATTAATAAACAGATCAAATGTCATTATTTTGGTAATATTACTGTGTCTTTAGCTTTAGGTAGGGTTTTTTCTTTGTTTTTTGTTGTTTATRTTGACTCAGCTCCTCTTTATCAGTTTTTTTCTCAGATCCTGAATTGAACATGGTTCAAATTTTCTGTTTAGGAATATGTATTCATAGAAGTACAGAACTGACTTTTTGATTGTGCTGATATGAATTATGAGAGCTGGGAATGTACATAAAGGTAACTTAATGTCTGTGAGTCGCTCCAAGTCACCACGGTACATTGTTAAATACAACTTGAAAAATGACTGAGAGTGTTTTCAATTTTATCTTTTCCTTCTAGTTTATCTGAGTAATCAATTGTATATGGTAGGCATCTGAGGTGCAGCAGAGAAACTGGAACATTAATGTGTGTCAGCTGGCACTTAATTAGGTATTTTTATGATGGGGAATAGCAGTTTCCCACAATCTGTTATATGGAAGGTAAAAAGTAGATGATTTTTCAGGAAGGTAATAAGCAAYTGGGCCAGTAAAGTTGTTCTTAAATGTTTTTTCTTTATTTAACCTCTTACCCTAAATAAGCAGCAAGGCCACTAAATGTTCATCATTATAGTTGGAGACACTAACCCAAATGCAAATAGCTGTTTTGCTGAGCTTACAGAGAGATAAATGACAATTTTTGCAGATACTCCATAAGATTAGGTCATGTGAGTCCTTGTGGGCCTGTGGCTGGTGTGTTGCTGTAGTCCCCTCACCTGTTGCAGAAGGCTCAGCCRTGGGCAGCAGGTCCCTCGCACACACTGGCAGCGTTTCTGAGCAGCAGCTCTGCAGTTGGGGCGATCAAACGCATGACATTTACCAGTCACATTCCTTGAAGTATCAGAGTGTCTGCCTTTGACTGGCTGGACTTGGGTTTTMATTTCTTTCTTTTTTTCATTGGTGTGTCTTTACATTAAAAAAAGGTTACAGCATCTGTTTCAGAAAGTCAAATACATATGAAGCTCCATTAATATATTTATATGTGGGACTTTAAAGGCAGCTCTGCAAATGGGTCAGAGCAGTTGCTGACTTGGAGCACCATTTCTTCAAAACATGTGTTGGAACACAGCTGATCTACTGAGCTTCTGCTTATGGAAGCATTACTTCAGTAAGTTGCAGGCTTATTCCTTTTTCTACTATATTATATTGCTGTGTGTAAAATACTCCTTTTATGCCTGTCTGACTGAAGAGTTTTTGTAAAAATAATACTTGAAGCAAAAATTAGAATTAATTAAAAAGTGACAGTAGCTGAAAAAAATGAAAAAGCAGAATGGTGGCACTTGTTTGCTATCATTCCTAACACAGTCAAAYTGAGCTGCTCCTTTCTACCAGAGGGTCCATCTGACCTGCACAATTTTTCAGTAGCTAGGGAATTTGGACAGAGGCTTTGTGTGAATCCTGTTCCTCTCTGTACTGTGCAGGTAATAAGAGCTTTCCACCAGAACACACTTTACTGGATAATTCTAATGTCAATCAACATGAAACAATGGAACTGCAATTGCCAGAATTTACATTTTGGCCAATTATTTTTTGCTTTTATTTAAATTCATTTCTAAGCTTTTGTTTTATTCTGGCAACAGGCCCAAGTCTTTGGTAACTGAACACAAGTCTTCATGTATCCTTAATTAATAGTTCTTCCTCTTTTCAAATCTTACTTCCCCTTTTTCCTATTTATCTTTCCACTCTTACGTGTTTGGTTTGTTTTTTTTTAAACTAATTCTATTACATCCTTTCAGCAGTGATTTCTTATATTTTCCTCCTTTCTTTTTTTTTTCTGTTTACTGGGTTTCTAGTCCTAACATGTGTCTTTTAGAGGTTCAAGAAGGTTTATCAAATTTCTACTCACTGTGTGTTTACGTGACTGACATATTGTGCCATGTCCTTATGCAATCACATCTCAAGTCTGATCAAAATGTTTTAACTCGTGACACTGAGTTCACTCAAGGTCTYGTGTCGCAGACAAATTGCACATGCCTTCTAACCAATCTGGAAAAACAAATACTCTCAGGAGAATCTGAGATATCTTTTTCATAGGATTTAATTTCTTCGACCTTCCAGAGCTCCAGGCAATTGGATGTATAACTATTCTCCACTTTRCTAAAGATAAATCTCTCTCTTTTCAAATATATTTATATGTACACACATGCGCACTCTCTATTTTTCGTTAAATAAGGTCATAAAAACCCCAAAAAATCTAGGATGTTTTAACTATTTCATTGACTTTTCAGATTGTTTTTAAGCTGTTTTTTAAACTTTAAAGGCAACACTGATAGTGAACGGTTCCAAATGGTAAAACAGAAAATCCCCTTCAAATATAACCGGCCTGTAGAGGAGTGGCTGCAGGAAAAAGGTAACAGTCATTAAAACTTTCATTTTAAACCCATTTGATTCTAAACTCTCATTTTTAAAGCCTGCAAATAAATGTTTCTTAAATGATAATCGSCTGCTGCATAAATGACTGTTTTAATTTTCATTATAATTTGTGTCAGCTTCCACCTGCCATATGTTGATAAATCATGCTATAATACATTGCTATTAAAATGAAGTTAAAGGGACGAAATTCTAAGCTTGCTATAATAGTAATGACAAACAAACAAGCAAAAATTCAGGAGATGATTTCTAAAAAAAAAAAAAAACAAATGAAGAAGAGTAAAGAGCAACAACATGTATTATGGCAATTTAACCACTGCATGATTTTCCTATTTTAATTTGAGCTTAAGCTACATTTATAGCTAAAAAAAAAAAAAAAAAAACAAATGAAGAAGAGTAAAGAGCAACAACATGTATTATGGCAATTTAACCACTGCATGATTTTCCTATTTTAATTTGAGCTTAAGCTACATTTATAGCTTTATTATTGAAGTTTTCTTTAAAAAAAAATCAAAGCTACTTGTTAAACCACTTCCTTTAAGTTGTCTTTTTTTTTCTCATGAGTCTGATTAGCCACTATGTCTATGTGACTTTCTAATTGTATTAAGATAATTAAATGATTTTAAAAAATGTTGTAAGGAAAACATTTTTTAACATGTTCATTTAAATTACAGTGAGGGAGACAGAGAGAGATGATTGTTCTGTTGCTTTTATGCTTTGTCTGGAGTACAGTTTGAACACTCAAATGATATTTGCCTAAGCTACAGATCAAATTCTTAGTCTCAGGCAGTGCTACTTAATTTTGTGGGGTTTCTGGAGTAATTGGTCTCAGTTAAAAAAAAAAAAAAAACAACCAAAAAAACCCCAAAAACTTGTTAAATTGAATAAATCCAGATGATTGAAAGTTCTGCATACAGTCCATGACCTGTTGAAATGGGACTTGTGCCAGAACAGTTTTGTTGTTTTTTTTTTTTTTTTTGCAAGAAATGTGGACAGGAAAAAAAAAATCTTGGATGTAGAACCCATTTTAAAGCCTRTTGAAAGTAACAAAATAACTTCTTATTTTCAGTAGAGCTTGAACTAGGCTCTTGGTAATACAGTGGAGTTTAAGTCAGGAAGATCATTTCCCTCTATTACTTAATGTGGTATTAAAGAAAAACAAAAGCACTGTAATTAATTCCTTGCCTTGAAGTCTAGACAAAGCAGAACACAATCTTCTCTTRTTTCTGTGTTTGAAATTATTGCTAATAAAAGGGGGTGACCTTTGAACTCAGATCTTGCATTTTCTGTGCTGATTTAGACTGTGTTTGTTAACACATTTTCCAAGAAGGAAAACCAATTTTTTGTAGGACTGGAAAAGTAACATTTATGTTCTGCTTCAAATTTCTAACCTCAGCTGAATTAACAAATTGATTTATCCAGTATGAATTAGGTTAAGGTCAGGAAGGATGTGGCTAAATACAGTCAAAATATTTTTTGGGAAGGGCCTGATCCTGCAAAGTGTGGTGCACACTCAATTCCTGTTGACTTCAACCAGAGCTGGCAGCATTGTCACTTTTCAGGTTTGGTCTCCATAGATGTAATGTTTAAAACTAAAGCTAAAGCATTAATGAAGGTAAGGCAAAAATATTTGCGTAACCCAAACAGAAATATTTCTTTACCACCAGTATGTCATRAACAGTTAATTCAGCTAAATTGTAAATAAATTTTAATATAACAATAAACAGAAAATGCTTATTGAGTCTCAGTGGGTTGCCCTATTAATTTACAAGATCAGACTAAAATAGAGAAATAAAGTTTAGCACTAAAAAGAGAATAATTTTGATAAGTCTGAATTGCTAAAGTCCCTTTAACATTAAAGAGAATGATTGCCTCAATTTTGTTAAAACAGATGCATGTCTAATTCCTTGATGCAATTCATGTGCTTGAGAAACCCATCTTTGTTTTATTTGGTTTGGTTATGGGTTTGTTGGTTTTTTTTTATTTTTTTCCTTTTTGCTTTTCCACAAAATCTTTTATTTTATGTCACAGCTTCTACAAGTTTGAGCTTAAAAGCATGCCAAGATACTTTCATTTGTAATCCATCCTGAAGTTTTGAACTGAAGTCTACCTTTTGTGGATATTGATGCTTTGTTAAAAGACAATCACACATGCACTAGAGTCTAAGAGAGACAATGTTTGAGTCTTCAGACACGCTCAAAACACTGGATGTTGTTAGGCTAGAAGRATACAGCCATGTTTTTCCTAAAGTGAAAGGAAATGCATTCTTTCCACTTTGTGTCAGGGAATGATGTTGTGCAATGTAACAGCTGAGACAATATAACTGGGTTCCTTCCTTCCAAATTAGACAGACATTTTTAGCAACTTAGGTACCACTCAAATGAAAAAGTTCTAAGAGTGAGTAATTTATGTAGCTATTCAGGAGCCTGCTCATCCATCTGGTCATCCATCTAACAATTAATGTAACATAGAAACCTTCTGTCAGAAGACTCTATAAAGATGATAAGTGAAAGGGTAGCTCCCTATCAAAATGGAACAGGACAAAGTGATGGATGGAGGAGTAGATTCATCAAAGAGACAGCAAATAGAATAGCTGTCTTGCTGATGTGAGTTCTTGGCTTGGGTGAGGTAAGAKGAAACATTTTTCAATTGACATTTTTGATTGCCATAGATTTGGTCTTCCCTTGTTACTGCTATGTTATTAATAATAATGAAATAGTTCATTCTTGGAAAACAAATACAAACAGTATCTTTCTGACTATTGGCTTTGATGGGCTTTTAAATTTTATAAATTAGTTTAAAATAATTTTAAGAGGAGCCCAGGTTTACAGTCTTGACTTGTATGAGTAATAAGCAAAATATTAAATGCTATTAACTTCACTGAGATTATGTATGTGAATATAAAAAGACTTGTTAGATTTAAATTGTTTAACTTCAGTAGTCATAAATCCAGCAGATTTCCTTACCAGAATACTTGGTGTCCACTAGGGCACAGATGTTACCTGTTGTGCAATTGGGTGAGCTAATAAAGACCTAGGAGCATCTCATCAAAAGGATTGATCCCAGAAGTTCTTAATTATTCAAATCTCTTTTACCTGTAAAGTCTCATTGATGTAAGTGRCTGTGCTTTTGAAGCAAGAACTATTAATGTGAATTAGGATTTGCAAAATCAGGCCCAAAATCTTTTCTAGTGCTACAGAAAAGTTACACTTCAGTTTTCTCTGTGGTATTTTTAATTAGAATTCAGTTTTCCAAATCAGGAAGTCAATGAGAGAGCAAAGAAACAGGAGCCTGAGCTATTCAGAATATTTACAAAACACCTCATTATTTTTCTTCATCATGACATGAAAGTAGCAGTAGGAGGAGTTCTCTGTGGAAAAAAAAGGACTGTAATTCTGCAGTTCCTACATAGCTAGTAGAATTTACTAATGTAAAACAGTCCCTCAATAAAATTCAGTGGCCAAATAAATTTTACATAGGGGAAGTAAGGGCTTCAGCTCAATTTCATCAAAAGAATGATCAGAAGAAACGTATGGTGGCAGAATTAAGTGTATATTCTCTCCAAAGTTTTTTCTCATTCCATATTCATTTCCCTGGTGTCTTTATCATGCCCACGTACACCATCTTAGAGCGAGGAATTGCAGGTAGTAGGTGACTGCAACAAGTGATTGTTCTTTTAGCAAACACAGTTTTAATGTGGTTTCCAGCATTAACCATATGGTGCAGTGCATGGATCCTGGTCTGGAAAACCACTTAACAATGAAGAGCCCAAAACACAATCAGAATTCCTGTTTTTGCTGGAATAAGGTCACCTCCTTGGTATGCACTTTCAAAGTTAGAAGATGCAGATGCAGATGAAGGCCCAGAATTGGAGATGTGGTCTCTTTTTTCAGATTTAATATACTAACTCCTAGCAAGAAAAGCAAGATATATGACAGACATGTAAAGCTGTGCTCTGAGCTTGGGCTAGAATATTTGACATCCTGAGGAGAGTCATAAGCCTCCAATAAAAGGGAGAGAACCCCTTTTCTGTCCTGGTTTGGGGATCTCTCCTACCTGGGACAACAAAAAATTCTCATTTCTCATTACCTTCCACCTTTTTTCCATTAGCAAAAGATAAAAAATTATACCAAACTAATTCAAGGCAAGAAAGGAATGGAAATGAAAATGGAAAACAGAAATGACAGTGTCTTCTGTCTGTTTTCAGGGATAACATCTCAAGATCAGTGAAATAAGTCCCTTTATTCATAAGTCCCTCCTTTACTCATCTTCCCTCTACTCTTTGGTGCTCTTACCATGAGTGAACTGGGAAGGAGGGAACAGTAGCAAGTGACATGTCTGAGTTCATAGGGGCAGGGACAATACGGACAGAACTATAGTGCTTGTAGGGAGGGAGCGTATTCAGAGAAGGGAAAGTGTGTAGTAAAGTTCTTACAGCATTCTCATTAAAAGAGCCAAAKCACAACATGACAGAAAAGAAAAGGAAGCTCTGAGGACATGATACAGGACAGGATTTTGACCTTCTACAGTGTACAGTGCCGTTTCCTCTAACTCAGGAGCTGGGCTGAGAAAGATAAATATCTTAACAGATATTGTTATTGGACCCTATTTTCCTCATAGACAAGAGTAAAGGCTCTGTTTATATTCTGAGGATATGTGGCTTCAGTGCATGTTTGTTGATGTTTTAATAGACATTTGTTGCCTCTGGCAAGTTTAAAACCTCCTGAGATGCAGAATATTGCATCAARTGTTTCAACACTTTCCAGGGGAAGGATACCCCCCCAACACACACACTTTTTATTTCTCATTTCTTCATCAATGCAGTTACTCCACCCTGATCAAGTCCTAATTTTCCATGTACAAATCTGAGGGTGAGGAGCACAAGGGATGTGCAGCCCACCTCCACATGTCTGTGTGTTACACCTCTCCATACACTGTTGCTTAGTTAGCTAGGGTCCTCTTTGGGGACAGGAACTACTTTCAGATACATTTTTCTCTTGTCCCCATTCTCTTCCCCGTGGTCCATCCTGTCACCATAAGATGATGCTACACCGCATCACCACTTCACTTCGAGACCCGCCATGACGACCACCAAAATTGGTGAGCTCCCCTCATATTTTGATCTACTCTAACCACTGTCTGTGAAGGAATGAGCAGTGGGTCATAGGCTGTGCTTTCCTACATGGTGGCATTCTGCACCTCTCAGGTTGGACGAGATAAAGTGATGAATGAGAACTGGGGAGTGGGAAAGGGATGGGAACACATATTTCAAACTTCATAAAAATGGGAAAACACAAATAAGATGTTTAAATGATGATTGACTTGATGCTGCATTGATAACCCTTCTGAGCAATGCCCGGTCTGGCTGTCTGCTAATTCAGCAGATTCCAGGTGGCATATCCCTAATCTTCTCAGGAATAGTGAAATTATAAACACTGCCTTTGCACTTCATGAAGTAATTTATTTCTTAATATGGTCAACATAGTGCAGCCTGGAATATAAACAGTATTTATAGAGCAGTCCAGGCTGAATGTGATGTAAGTGTCCTGCAAAACTAGGTGAATTGGCAATTGTTACCAGATTTATTTTTAATGAATATAGTCTATATTACATATGATACTGGACCACTTCTAACACTCAAGCTGAATAAACCACATAAACTGCCTATATTTGAATTTAATTGTCTGTAAGAGGGGAGTAAGGCATTTTGGGGCTTAATCATCTGAAGTACTGTTATCCTATTTCAAAAGCTTTGCTCTTTCAGAGGCATCAGAAATGTTTGCATTTGTTGTTTCTTCAGTTTAGATTTGTGAGCTTTCACAACACAAAGTTTACAGGTGAAAGATCATGACTTATTCTGTCATAATATTCCTACTGAATTCTTATATTGCATCATTTTTTCCTGATGTTTTACTSTTTTTGAGCCAGCCCTTAAAACTTTTGCATTATTAAAAGGAGCTTTATGAATTAATCCTATTCTTTAACCAGTCCAAATGGAGGTTTATTTATAGGCTAAAGTTTGACAGGTACTGCAGTCTGAATGGATAGTAGAAAAATGGCCACATATTGAAATCCTATTTGTAGTTTAAAATTCATCCAATCCTAAAAGAACGGGTTCAGATGTCTCAAGTTCCTCCAAAGTTTTGATGTGTGAGTGGAAGCTGAAGGATCAGTTTTAGGTGTTCTTACTTTTAGGCTAATCTTCTTTATGAGTGACCTTTAGGCACTGCATTTCTACACCGTTTCTCTACAGTCATCATGAGCACTACCAAGAATGAATCTACTTTCCTTTGTCTGTCATTTCTGGCCAGGGCTCGATGTAGTGTGCAGAGTGGAGGAAATGTCTGTCAATAATGTTATTCACCCCCTTCACTAGGACGACAGTTAACGATCTTCAACACCCAGGCGCAAATWGCCATAGGAGGGAAGGACAGAGGGCGTCTCTTCCAAGGCCAGCTCTCCGGTCTCTATTACAATGGCCTGAAAGTGCTGAACATGGCGGCRGAGAACAACCCCAACATTAAAATCAATGGAAGTGTCCGACTCGTTGGGGAAGTCCCTTCCATCTTGGGAACAACACCCACAACATCTGTGCCACCGGAAATGTCGACGACAGTCATGGAAACCACAACCACGATGGCGACCACTACGACCCGAAAAAATCGTTCACCGCCCAGCATCCAGGTGAGTCAACTACTCTTTTCCATTTCCTTTGGTTCTTGATTGATCTTGCTGCTCACTTGTAGGTTCACATGAGCCTTGTCTCTGAATCATGGTTCATGTAATTCTTAATATTAATAATATTGTATAGTGTAAATCACCACAAAACGTTGTCCTCCTGTGCTGGACACAGGACAAACAGCTGGCTGAATTGTTGTGGCACATGTATGTGATAATAGCAATGGATTTTACTCCTGWTCTAGTGAAGCCCCATTTGTGTAAGTGGAATTGTCACAATGTGAGCAAGAACAAGGTTTTAACTATGTCTCAGAAGTTCTGTGTGGGAAAATGTATTCCAAAGAGAATTACAAAGCTTAATGGGGGGGTGGGTATATGGTTATTTATTATGATGACAGTATGAACTGCTGCAATAGTGAAGTTCATAATGAGGAGAAAAGCAATGGAGCATTACTTTCAGTTGGTATCATTTTTCATTTCCCTTTTATCGCCTTCCTGTAGAGAATTTTGAAGGAATGCTATCGAGATCAGTTTCTTGCAAAATGTAGATGTTCCAGCATAGAGAGTTCAATCAATTTGGTAAAAATTATTCCTACAAAAAATTAATTTCACATATTCTGACCTAATTGTGCCAGAGTAGTTATTTCAACCTTTAAAATACAGTGGTTTTGGAACCACTTTTTTGCCACCAGAAAGTGGTGCTGATTAGAAATAAACACCTTGAATTGACTCCCCCTGTCTGTGCAAAGAAAAGAATCCTGTGAATAACCAATCTGAGCTGTGGATGAGATTCTGAAAATTATTTATTTCAGCAGAATGCTACCATGTTATCAGCTAGAATGAAACATTTGTTGGGAAATCTTTAGAGCGATGGAGCTACTGGATAGGCTCTAGCAAARGACCTCTAGAATGAGTAAGGGACTGGAGCACTTTTTCTATTAGAAAAGACTGAGACACCTGGAAAAGAGAAGGTTGAGGGGGGAATCTTATTTGTGTGTACAAATACCTGAAGAAAGAGTGTAAAGATGACAGTGAAACCCAGTGGTAGGACCTAAGATAATGGGCACAAACTGAAACRTGTGACTCTCCCTCTAAACATCAGGAAACATTTGTAACCTGAGGTGACTGAGCAAGGGCACTGGTTGCCCCAAAAGGTTGTAGAGTGTCCATGCTGTTTAATATTCAAAAGGCATCTGCACAGGGTCCTGGGCAGCTGCCTCTGGGTGATTGTACTTGAGCAGAGGTTTGGACTAGATGACTTCCAGAAGTGCCTTCCATCCACAGCTATTCTGTGATTCTGTGAGATGCCTCTGYTTGTAGTGGAATTTAGAACTATTAATTATTTCCAAGGTGAGGTGCCCCCTTTGGTACTCTGTAAATCCTGATGGCAACAGGACTGGGATTAATTGAGTTATTAGCCTCAAACACCCAATAGATGATTTATAAAGTCTCAGCCAAATGAGGGGAAATTTCCCCAGGTTTGGTCACTGTTTGTCATAAACTTTTCAAGAATTACAGTTCCTTTTTCTCAGTGTCTAGTTCTAATTTTAGAGAAAATGTTTGTACAGTTACATCTCCAGAACTATAAAGTCTCTGGTTCTTATCCTGCCCTCTATAATTTTTAAAGGCAGCAGAGCTGTTTTCAGCTATAGCAGTGAAACAGAGTAGCACTGAACCTTTATGGGCTGGGTCAGTCTGGAAATGACACTGGCTTGCCTGAAGAGGAACTCTTTGTGAAAGCTTCCTGCCTGGCCTATGTGGCAGTTCACTCAGCCTACAGAGACCACTGTGTGCTGAAAGAGCATCAAGAAGATTTAATAAAGTGTCAAAGTGCTTCTAAAAACATGGTTAGAGCAGCGATTTCCTGGATACACATACACCACAACAAATGGCCTCATCTCAGCTGATATTAAAGCAATAACTCTTTGACACTTCATGCTACCCGCTGAAAGAAAAATAAAGGTCAATATGTACCTCCATTACAAGTTTCTGCATTTCAATATGGGGCCGTTTTATTGCTGTCGCAGCACAGATGGCTTTCCTTTCTTCCTTATTTTTAGTGGAATTTGATTCTGTCMGCTTAAGTTGCAGTATCTGTGTGGTGCAAGTAAGAAGAAATTGTCTTTTTCTGTTTGGGTTGTATTTCAAGCCATGGTTTTTCAAATGCCTGATGGTTATTTTATCTCGCTTGTGTTCAACATCACCATCATCAAGCCTGTTCTTAATTTTAGATCTAAGTGGTGGAAAAATCTAATAGAACAAATTTACTCTTTGGGAAATATAAAATATAGATACCTAAGGCTACGAGCRGTACAAATACAGTTAGTTATTACTTTGTTCCAGCTTTCTCTTCGCTCTTCTGCTCAGAAATAAACAATTTTTCTTTGCTTTCAAGGCTGTTAAAGTTTAGCCTCTTCTCTCCTGATTCTGATCAGCATGATTCAGTCATTTTTTTGCTCACTTCTTAGATTTGATCATAAGAATCTTTTTGATTCCTGGTACCATACAAAAGGCAACACCAGGTTATTTTTCCAATCCCATTGAAACTCTTCTTCCATCATGATGCATGCCAAAAAATTGTCAGAGGTTAGGCTGATGATGGTCTAAGGCATCTGCTTATCAAGTCAATCAGTATTGTCACTTTTTTAGTTCTATTACCCATGTTTCTGTATCCATGTGTGATAGCTTGTTTTATGCTGAGATTGCAGACTCCTTGAGTTCAAAATGTCCTTTTTATTCTGCACCTGTACGTTACTTGGCACAGAATGGTTCTGGCCCATTGTAGAAATACCAAGCATGRTACAAGTAAAAATAAAGGATCTACTGCAAAACAGCAAGAATCAGGATAAAGAATTCTTGTTCTTACTCATTTAGGAGTATCTGTACTACTTGTATTACTCTTTTTCATATGTAAGTACCTAGAACTACTCCTTTCTGAAATGCATACAAATCTTGTGCAGAATATGAAATCTGCAAGCATTTCAAAATCCAGGGGAATTTCCGTAGGATTTAGATTTACACATCACTTGTTAAGGAACTACAGAAGAGCATGAAAAGTGCAAAGATACCTTCTATTTGTAACATRGACCAAGATACCTCCTGCAGTTAGGTAGTCTGAGGACTGACAGAAGTGTGTTGGAGCACAGTTAGATTAAAACAGCTGTGAAAATGAACTGCTTTAAAAATACACRGTACATGCTGAGACCAATGATACGCTTCAGTTTGTGAAGATCCCAGACATGGTGTATAGTTTTGGACAAACAATCAAGACAAAGGGAATTGGCAGAAAAATACTGCAGGAAATACCCAGTGGCATTAAAATTAGCATTTAATATGTCACTACCTTTATACTAACATTTCTACAAGACAGTGAAACTCAAATCAGTGGAGGACAGGCAGGACTTGGGTGAGAAACCGTTGAGATGTATGGCTGCATATTATACTGCTGGGAAAGTCTCTGTGATTCAGARAAGGAAGGTAATGAGAACTGACCTTTTTTTGTTATCTGAAAATAAGGGAGAAAAAGAGGTTTCGATTTGTGTTTGTTTCAGTGAGTTGCAAATGGTGCTTGTGCTCTGCTCCCTGAGTAGAAGCACTGATTTGAGTTTCTCACACATGGTTTTGTTCTGGATTTAAGTACAATCTGTTCAGTAGTGACATGTGCTATACTAGTTTCTTGCTGCCTCTCAGGACCCTGACACATCAGACTTTCCTGTGATAATATCATCCTCTCTGGGACTTCTGCTTTGCCACTTTACCCACAAGAGCCCTAAAGACATGGCACTAGCTTTTGTGTGTGGTACAGTAGGATGCCATGCAAACTGCTGCTAGATGAGAGTCCCTGTGCTGAGCCATGCCACATTCTTGCAAGGCTGTCATGCATCTCAYAGGGTTACTGCATGAGTCAGAAGTCTTGGAATCCCACATGTCCCAATTTCTTGATTTAAAGTACAACTTCAGTTAACAGTGAAGTACTTCATGGATTTTTTGGTTTGGAAGATCTCTGTGGAAACAGGTTAAAGTGACAATCATTCTCTAGTCTCATGCTTCTATGTCAGCTGCTTGTGTGGTCAGAATTCTTTTTTTGTGAGCCACTGTTGAAAGCTTTTTAGGAGATTCTCCATATGCTTTTAGGTGGCACATTCTGTCTTGGTTCATGGTTGGATCATTCAGTTTTCTAATTATTTATGTGAAGATATTTTTGAAGTTAATGRCTAAGTATAGCTAGTCTAGAAATCATTCATTGTGATGCATGTGTCTTCCATTCAAAACACACTCAGTTCAGCAAATCCAAGAGGAGAAGCACACCAGGTAATCTTCGAGAGGCCCTAGGGCAGGCCCCKAATATGTCATGGGTGGCCTAATATGGCATGGGTGGCTGAGGACCCAAGATCAAAACAGTTTCTGTGAAAAAGAGATCAAAACCCTCCTGAGAGGACAGATGGACCTCTGGTTATGCTCTCCATGAGGAGCCAGAGACTGTGTGCTCCATTCTGTATGCAAGGCATGCCTCAGCTTCTTGAGAGGGGAAAATGACACTTGCCAAACTGTTCAAACTGTAGCTTGTAGGTGATGAGAATAAATTACTTGTGGATGTTTTCAGCTATGATCTTAGAGTCACAGAATGACAGTTTATTATTTATTTTATGCAGACTGTTGTCTCTAAAGAGTAGGAGACCTGTCCCTTATCTCTATGGAGAGTTCAGCCCATTGGCATGGCTTAGAATAAGGTTCTCAGCCTTTATTTTTAGCCATCAGGCTTTTCAGCCTTCTAACTGTTTTCTATTGAGGGTCCAATAATCTTGATTAATGTCTTCCCATAACATGCAGCTCCAGGCTAAATCCTTCCATACAGTGTATATCACAAAGGAAAATAGCACAGAAGATTTGTCAGTCTAATTAGACTTTTACTGTCAGTAAGACAAAATTGTCTCACCCTTGGTCCTGCCTAGGTACTTTCTTTTACACTCATAGATAATAATTTGGTAGGGAAAGAAATTGGCCTT